TTTTTTTTTTTGAGTTGGAGTCTCGGTTGCCCAAGCTAGAGTGCAGTGGCATGCTCATGGCCACCTCAGCATCAACTTGCTGGGCTCCAGCGATTCATCCGCCTCAGCCTTCCAAGAAGCTGGAACATACCCAGTTAATTTTTTATTTATTGTAGAAACAAGGTCTCGCCAAGTTGCCTGGGCTGGTCTCTAACCCATGGGCTCAGACAGTTCACTGGCTTCAGCCTCCCAAAATGCTGGGATTACAGGCTGAGCCGGGCCTGCCTGTGCATTGTTAAAGAAGTTCTGTGTTTGGTCTTCACCTCAGAATCACTGTAATTCTTTGCCCTCCTTCACCTGCACGCTGAACCCACTGTAGTGGTGGGAGGATTAGACCTCTATAATTGCTTGAATTCATTTGTAGGTGCTTACATTAAAACATTTTTTAAAAAATATGAAACGAGACATGCTACGACTGTTGTATGAATCAGTTTTTTGAATAAAGAAATGAAGGTATTATGGTTAAAGGTTAGATTGATATTTTGCTGCCCTTGGGGTTCTCCTAACCTTCAAGTGCATGACTCTTTTCCTTTCAGTAAAATAGTGTTGGACACAAGTCTGTCTCAGTTTCTATACTCTGCTTTTCTGGAACCACATTTCTAGAATTAAGGTGTTTAGTTCAGATGTGTTCAAAGCAGTGTTTGAGAGCTTTCAGGAAGCCATGGTTGTGTGTGTGTGTGAGAGAGAGAGGATGTGTGTGAAGTTGTCCACTGGACACTAGATTGTTCTGGGATCACATTAAGATGTAGTCTAGTCATGCCTAAGATTTCCCCTACTTTAACATTTGTGGAGGGTTTCTTATTCAACCAAGTAGCTGCTTTCATTCAGGTACCCTAACCTTAACCCCAGAGGTGTTTTACTCTGTTTTAAATACTTTAGCATCTACACAAGACTTTCTGTTTAGGGAAATAGCTGAGGTTGGATTGATTTGGGTGGTAAAGTAATTGGACTTGTTTTTCACAATATTTGTTAATGCTACAAAACCAAGTTATGCCCAGATAGTGCAAAAACATGGACACGAGGACGTTAAATGTCATGTCTGCTCTTCTCCCGTATCCTCTAGTCTGTAAGGCAGTGTTTACAAAATGCATAATTTTTAGAGTGCTTAGTTTGTTCTGGTGAGACTCGGTCAGAATTTTTGAGGTGAAATGATTAGTCAGTTGCATAATGTGTTTGGAGGTTCACAACTTGTTATGTAACTGTCTTACATCTAAGCCGGGCCACCGGTAAATTACTGAGGTTTCCAGTATTGTTCAAATCTGTGGTAAAAAGCATCAATCCTTTGCAGATCTGACTATTGGGACTTAGTCAAAACACACCAGCGCTTAGGCTTGCTCTTCCCAGCAGAGTCAGTTTTTAAATCCCCTCCCATGGCCCCTTCTTTCTGGCTCTTGAGTTTTGTATCAAGTTCAGCTTCTTTTTTCTGCTGTCTGGTCTGCTAGGGTTATGCTTACATGCTTGCTTCATCTTTCTCTGCACTTTGCAGCCTGGGCAACTTGACGAGACTTCATGTCTACAATAAATCAAAAACTAGCCGGGTATGGTAGCTGTGTGCCTGAAGTTCCCGGGTACTTGGAAGGCTGAGGCGGAAGGATTGCCGGAGCCCAGCAGGTTGATGCTGGGATGGCTGTGAGTGTGCCACTGCACTCCAGCCTGGGTGACACAGTGAGACTCCAACTTAAAAAAAAAAAAGAAAGTCTTAGGCTATTTGAGTTGTTTACATTTTAGATACAGCATCTTGTAAGGTTAGCTTTATCTGAGTCTTCCTCAAGAGATGGGAAGTGCTGTATTCTTCTCCTAAATGCTATTTTTGTTTATTTTTTCTTTACTTTTTATTTATTTGTTATTACTTGAGTTGAAATCTCACTCTGTCACCCAGGCTGGAGTGTAGTGACCCAATCATGGCTACCGCAGCCTCAACCTGCTGGGCTCAGGCGATCCTCCTGCCCCAGTCTTCCAAGTCTCTGGAAATACAGGTGCATGCCACCACTCCCAGCTAAGTTTTATGATTTATTGTAGAGCCAAGGTCTCGCCAAGTTGCCTAGGCTGGTCTCAGGCCCCTGGGCTCAGGCAGTCCTCTTGCCTCTGCCTCCCAAAGTCAACTATTTATGTTTAGAATGTAGCTCATGCTTGCTTTGTTTATGATGATATCAGAAGTCAGGATTTTTTTTCTTAATTTTTTTTTGTTTTGTTTGGGGTTTTATTCTATCACCCAGGGTGGAGTGTGGTGTTGCAGTCCTGGCTTACTGCAGCCTCGGCCTCCTGGGCTCAAGTGATCCTTCTGTCTCAGCCTGAGTAGCTGGGACTACAGAGCACAGAATGCCTGGCTAATTTTTGTATTTTTTGTAGAGATGTGATCTCACTGTGTTGCTCAGGCTGGTCTCGAACTCCTGGGCTCAAGTCATCTCCCTGCCTTGGCCTCCCAAAGTGCTGGGATTACAGATGTGAGCCACCGTGCCCTCCAGGATTCTTGATTCACATTATGACTTGACTGTTATTCCAGTAGTGAGACGCTGGAGGAAAATTAGTTCACTCCTGAGCTGCTTTTTATATCTGTAAAATTAGAATACCTTCTAAAAACTGTGATGGGTTTAAAGAGAAGATAGATGTGAATATACTCTAGGACATATCACATGTTTTCAAATGGATGTTGAATTCTAGTTTTGGTACTTTTTATTTTAAAGTATTTTGACGAGAAAAGACCTCCCATGGAGAAAGCCTGTTTTTCTTTTGTAGTCTGGTCGTCTGCAAAGGAGTGGGCCTCATTATAAAGTTCTGCTTGTGCTGCTGCCCTCTTGCCAGCTGTCTTTTTCAGTAATGTAAATTCATTCAGTGTGGGGTCCTCTGTGATGTCTGGATAACTCTGTTTTTCTGGAACACAGCTTTTCATTGTTTGACGATTGCTCTTCCTTTCAGAGTCTACTCTAGAGGTAGTGGACAAGGAATTAAAGTAATGGAAATGCATCTTTGTGTTATACAAGTATTGCTGCTTTACAAAGGTTCAGGGATAAAAGAACTATCATCTTTAATGTCATTAAAGACATACTGGTGAATTTCAGCGAGTGCAACAGCTCAGCTAAAAATAAATGGCATTGACTTAAGTTTTCAGTCTTTTTTTCGGTTAGTTAAAACCACTAAAAAGTAGGGATCATTCAGTTTCTGGGAGACTTCAAGGCAAACTATTGGGAAGTGCTGGGAAGTGGAAACAGAATGAGAATATACCCAGGGCAATGAATGAAATTGTTTCCACCCTGTTGTTTGGTCTCAGTGTTGAATAGTCAATCAGAATTAATTTTCCATTATTATTATTATTATTTTGAGTCGGAGTCTTACTCTGTTGCCCAGGCTGGAGTGTAGTGATACGCTTATACAGCTACCACAGCCTCAAAGCTGCTGGGCTTAGGTGATCCTTCTGCCTCAGCCTTCCAGGTAGCTGGAACCACAAGCTTGCGCCACAATGCCCGGCACATTTTTTATTTGTTGTAGAGATGAGGTTTCTTCAAGCTGCCCAGGTTAGTCTCGAACTCCTGGGCTCAGGCAACCCTCTTGCCTTGGCCTCCCAAAGTGCTAGGATTACAGGTGTGAGCCATTGTGCCTAGCCAATTTTCTATGATGGTGATGAGTTGAAGTCTAACTCTGTTGCCCAGGCTGGAGTGCAGTGACATGCACACAGCTACAACAAAGCATCGAACTGCTGGACTCAGGTGATCTTTTTGCCTCAGCCTTCCAAGCAGATGGGACTATAAGCATGTACCACCATGCTTGGCTAATTTTTTGATTTATTGTAGAGACGAGGTCTCGCCATGTTACTCAGGCTGGACTTGAACCCAACCCCCCTGAGCTCGGGCAGTCCTCTCACTTCAGTCTCCCAAAGTGCTGGAATTACAGGTGTGAGCCACCATACCCGGCTAATTTTCCCTTATTATTTCTTAAAATTTCTAAAACGTTTGCTGCTGCCTTCAGTGTGTTCCTAATTCTTGGTACTGAACCTGTCAGTAGGAGTGCATCTGTGGAATGACACGGGAGATGCAGGTGAACGTGGCCTGCGTCATGTGCACTGTTGAGACATCTGTTAAGCTATTTGATGCTCCTGCTTAGAATTTATGAGAATTCACCCTTCTGAAGGAGAACAGTTAAGCTTAGTGGCTAAGGGTTACAGGCTGTGGAGTAGAATTTTAGCTCTTTCACATTTTGTGTGACTTTCTTAGAGTTACTCAGTGCTCTGTACCTCAGTTTCCTCACTTGCAATAAGAGACAGTAGTAGGTAGTAGGTAGACATATTACTACCTCCTTTCTCATGTGAAGCCTTGTAGAGGACTAATGATAGTTTAGCTATTGTTAATATTAACCTAAAGCAGAGTATAAACCCAAATAGTAACCTAAATCAGAGTAAGTGTGGCAAGTTATTTTAGATAGTTGGGCTAAAGATAAGTAGTCCCTCGTCTGTCTGCTTAAAACATTTTTTTAAAGAACAAGACAGAGCTCTAGGACTGTGTGATGAGTAAATACTGAATTTATTTATTTTTTTTTTAAATTTTTTTTGAGTTGGAGTCTCACTCTCACACAGACTGGAGTGTAGTGGCCGCTCCTGGCCACCGCAGCCTCGACCTGCTGGGCTCTGGCGATCCTTCCGCCTCAGCCTTCCAAGTAGCCGGAATTACAGGCATGTGCTACCACGCCTGGCTGATTTTTTGATTTATTGTAGAGATGAGGTCTTGCTGCCCAGGCGGGTCTCAAACCCGCGGAAAATACTGAATTTAAACCGTTAAGATTAAATATCATGTATAACATTTTCATTGTTACTGAAATAATTTCTGTTTAATAGGTGACTGATGGGCTTAGGGGTCACATATTTCGTGATAATTATCTTGATTAACTTATAAAATGGTTTTCTTTAGAATGGAACGCAGTATGACTCTAATGATCATCATATATCTTTTTCTTTCTCCTTTTTCTAATAGAAAGCGTGGATACCCACCAGCGAAGTTTTGATATTGGAATTCAGATTGGCTATCAGCGACGCAATAAGGATGTGTTGGCTTGGGTTAAAAAACGCAGAAGAACTATTCGTAGAGAAGATTTGATCAGCTTCCTGTGTGGAAAAGTTCCTCCACCACGAAACTCTAGAGCTCCCCCAAGACTGACTGTAGTGTCCCCTAACCGAGCTACTTCAACGGAAACTAGCTCATCTGTAGAGACTGATTTGCAACCCTTCCGGGAAGCCATAGCTCTGCATGGTAAAGCCGTTTAAACATACTTCTTTGGAAAAATGTTTAAGAGGGTGCCTGTGGACCCATTTTCACGTTTAGGTTTAGGTCCAGATACATTGTCTGTTTTTTGTCTATTGCAGTAAACACTCTAGAAATGTCTAAATAGAATGCAAGCTAAGAACTTCTGTGGGCAGTGTTGGACTGTCAGCTAACCCATCCTAAAACTGTTTTAGAAAGTTAGTTTGAGCTTATTGGTGTTACAATGACAGAATCTTACACTATGTTGTACATGTTTCCTTACTCTTTGGAGTCAAAGAGGAAGTTCTATGTCTTAAGAATTCTATTGCGTTTCTGATTGCTTGGTCCATGGTAGGCAAGTATGACAGGCAAGCATGACAGGAAATTGTTGGGTTCTCATGGGAACTGGGAACTCCCTTTGATACCCTTCTTACCTACTGTGCTGTAGAGGGTGAGAGGTGATGACCCAACTGGGAGAGGACAGATGTAAAAATTGAATTCCCTTCTACCTGCTGTCCCTCAGGTTCTTCTTTGATAGGGCTGGCAGGGGTAGAGCCAGTGGACAGGTTCATCACCATGTCCTTAGGCGAGACCTGTCGTAAAAAGGCATTCTTGGCTAAGGAGATTGTGGTGTTATTGGAGGATCCTGGGGAGTGTATTCGATAAGTCTGTTGTTCTCTAGTACAGACTTCCAGATAGAGCTGGGAGAGTTACCTTCTGTATGACAGCATTTAATACTGCTGTCCAGAAACCCAGGATAATAAGACTGGGTTGAAACCGAGATGAAAACATGGATCATTCAGATGGCTGAGCAGGTGGAAGTAATTAGTGAGTTAGGTTGTGAGTCCTGTTACAGTGTAGGTTATCTAAGGCAAGGTAACCTGGTAAGGTAGTAAGAATAGAAGGCTTGTATATAAAGGCTTCTGGAGCATTCACACTTGAATGTCTGTAGAGATTCTTGCTCTCTTTGGCAAACCTTGAGTCTTTCCTAGAACCCCAGTCAGAACACGGAGTTGAAAAAAATGTTTTGTTTCCCCCCAATTGGGAATTTGTTTATGACAAGTTAAAAACCAATATATTACTTACAAGAACATCCCAGCTGTATGATACGGTACTGAAGAACGCACACTCCGTAGTTCTAACACGGTGGATTGGTAATGCTGTCAGAACTTGGAAACTCAGAACTCAGACAAAAAAGATCAATCTTGTTGAATTAGAGTTTCACATCTTCCCCTTACTAGAGGTGTACATAGTTTGTCAGATTACTTTTAGCGTATGGTAGTATTTGATATAGTTGTCTCTTGAGCGTTCTGATTTATTATCAAATCCTTTATTATCAAGTGGATTTATGATTCATTCCGTGCTTCTCTCTCTTTTTTTTTTTTTTTTTGTGCTTCTCTTAAGTATTTTCCTATATTATACTACCATACTTTAGAAGATAGTTTTAGGAAACATAAACACCATGCTTGTAATCTTCATGCAGTAGTGTACATAGTAGTCAAAAGGGCAAGTCAAACCTCCCTCCTTAGAACTACTTCATCCTCCGGCTCCCATTATATTTTCTCACATTGAATCTGTTCGACCTGTGGTTTATTATTTTCCTGAACTTTTGGAGTTTTTTGTAATGATGTAGTTGTAGGAAAGGATTGTTTATAGTTTTGGCATGTCTAAATTGTGAGAGTTTAAAAAAGCTTAAATATTGTGTAGAGAAGTAACCTTTCCCTTCAATAAATTATGCTGTAGCACTAATACAGAATATAGTGCAGACTCAGTGTACTCTTAGCTTTCCGACTTCTAATTCATGTAGTTAGAACAATGATGTGGTGAAGTAACAGGGCCCCTTGAAAGAGTATACAGAAACATAAGTTATACTGAGTTTTGTGCTCTAGCAGTTTGTGAGAATGCTGGTCTAACTTGAGTATTGGAAATAATTGGAATGATTCTAGTATTAGGGCACTGTTAACTGAAGAGTAATGTAAATCAGTGACTTTAACTGGGTGTCCTTGTTATCTGATTTGTTGAATAGTCAGATGAAAATTGTTAAGGTCATCTTTTAAAATGTATTTGGAAACATCTTAATTAGGGTAAACATGAAGTCAATTCAGTTTTGCATATAATTTGCCTATCCAAATTTATGAAGTATAAATGAGGTCAGGTTTGAGGTTTTTGGAGTTCTTTATGGAAAGAGTCTAAATTTATGAAGTTTTTGGAGTGTAGGGGACATGGGAAATAATTGGTATATTGAAGCCAACTTGAGTTTATAATCAGAACAGACTCCCATTCCTCCTCTTGGTCTATGTCTTTTTGAGGGAGGACAGGTTTCCCTCATAGTTTTTTTTTCTACCCCCTCACTACCTCTACCAAACACCTCCACCAAATAAATATGCCTTTAATTTCTAAGGAGAAAAATGACAAGAGAGTTGAGACAATTGCAGAGCATTTCCTGTGGAGAGTGAGTCTAACAGTGAATAAGGTCCCCTGATTGTTACTGCATCAGTAACTAAACTGGAGCCCAGTTTAGTGGGAGAGATTTCTGTAAACAGTTTTCATCAAAAGTGTATTAGTGGTTATCAGATAGTTTCAATCCAAAACTACTTCAATTAACCATTAGTGAGGCTTAAAGACTAATTCAGTGCTTTTTTGACGCTTTTTTGACACTTGTCTGCAACATGTTGCTTGTTTTCTGTGTACTATGGGACCTAGTCATCTGGTTATTGGTCTCACAGAGGAATTTAAGAGATGCAGAAGCAGTGCCCAATTGATTTCCATCTTTGCCTTGATATTCCATGTCATAAAATAACATCATTGTTACTTTTCTGAGAGCCAGTTAATAACTGGCAACTTCTTTTTATATAAACGGAATACTTCAGATAGACCAAAAACCATCTGGACTACTTTGTGGTTCTCTGCCATCATTCTGGGTAGCCCACTTTCATTCCCCCTCTCCAGAGCTTCTTTTCTTCTGCCATGTCGGCCCCCCCTGACTTTTCCTCAGCTTCTGTCACTGCCCTAGATTTTGTTCTCCAGGATTCTGGCCATTGCTGCTGCCTTGTGTGAGCCCCTCAGGGCCAGCTCACTCTCCCTTCCAAAGCTATAGCTCTTGGCCGCCAAGCGTGCCTGTCCCACTGTCCTCAGTACATGTCTCTAGGTGTACATGTCTGCAGTTGTTTGCCTCAGGTGAACATTCTGACTGGACTCCTTCTGCCCCAGCAGCAGCAAGTACCCATCTTTTCCTCATGTAGCCATTCAGCAGATTGTGTGGCAGACTTTGTGCTGTTCTGGAAATACCTAAACAAATATGCTTCCTCTTTCTGTTGAGGCAGAGGCAAACATGTATTTGGATAATTTCTTTTAATGTCATGAATGTGATATGTATAAGGTGTTGTGGGACAGAAAGGACATTTTGCGATGCAGCCTGGCTTTGCATGGGCTCAGGGCAGGCCCTGTGGAGAAGGTTAGTCTGGGCTCTTGGGCTTTCTCTTTTCAGTTTTTGCCTCCCAGTCCCAAGCTGTCCTGTCTTTGTTAAGACCATTGTTGTGATCTTTTTTGATCTTGTCACTTCACTGCTTAGTTTTCCCTGACCTACACGGTAAAGTCTAGATTCAGCATGGCATTGCCAAGCCCTTATGACCTGGTCTTACCTGTGAGTCTGATATTCTAGCTGTCCTGTTGAATGTCCTGAATACCTCCCTGATCCTTGACAAGTCCACTTCACCCCCACTTGTTCATCCTTCAGACTGACCAGACCTCACTTGTGTGATGCAGCTTTCCTTCAGCTCTCCCTTTCTCACTGGCCTCTCTCAGCCCTCCTTCTTGATTTGTTTCCATGGCTGTCCCTTCCACTGAGGCTATGTTAGTGCAGGTGGGCCTTGTCATTCCTTTGGGCTTGAGCAGCCTAGCAAAGAACCTGGTATAGGTGTGTTCTGAGTTGACTACAGGGTTAACACTGAGGTCTGTTACGTGAATGAATATAACACAATGGGGACCCAGAACTTCTGGAAAGAGTTGAGAATTACAATCCTTAGAGGACTACAGTCCGGGTTAGGGTAACCTGTGTACCTGGGGGTGCTACAAAGTAATCTGGAATTAGAACAGCTGAGACTTTGCATGGGGGCTGAGGGTGATACACCATTAGAGCTACTCTTTTAGGGTTCATTTGTTAAAAGCATCTTGCTAGGAAGGTTCTCATTGAATCCTCACACCTACCCTGGGTTATTAGTACCACTTTAATTGGTGAAGAAAGGCTTATTTGGCATAGGTGGAACAGGTTTGTAAGTGGTAGATTCAATACTCCAGATCTGTCTGGCTCCAAAATGCATCCTTGTAATCACCATGCCTCTCTATTTGTAGATTGAGGGTTTCTTTCCTCCTCCACCCCCAAAGGGCTTAGGGGTTGAGGTAGGAGAGAGTTGAGGCTTTTCTTCTAAAGTCATCAGAAACTATGTGAATATTGCATGACTTGCTGGGGCTCTAAGTGGCTCTGGATGAATATCCTTGACGATTAGTGACCGCTGTAGGACATAGGCTTTGTGTGTAGGCCTGTTTCTTGTATGACCTTGGGCAACATGCTTAACCTCTCCAAGCCAGTCTCCTTTGTGAAGGGTAATAAATGTTGTTATAAGGTGATGGATTAAATGAGAGCCTAAACAAATTACTACGCACTGTAAGTATTCTGTGCCTTGAGAATAGAAGGGTTGGTTCTACTCCTGGGAGTACACTCTTTGCTTCTGAACAGTGTTACTACAAAAACAGACCTGGAACCTAGGATCTCAAGGCCCAGTGGGCTACTTTGCCTGCTGAGATACTTTTCCCTATTGAGTAAGGATGACATTTTAAATTACAAGAGTCATTCTAGAGGGAGAGAGAATTTAAAACTTTATTGCTAACCGGTTACCTAAATATAACTGCTAAGATCTTAAGCTTGTTTCATGTGAACAGACTAGTGAGGTTGGTTACGTTCTCTCGTCCACCTGACTGGGGAGAGATTCTGAGTTGGCTGCCCAAGCTGG